CATCTTCCGCCGCAAACTAAAGACACACCTCTTCAGACTCTACCTCGACTAAAGACTAACAAATTGTAGCACTTAAATTGTACTTGTGACGTCACTCATCTATAGCAAATTGTAAATTCGCTTATTTGAGGAAATTGCACTTTCTTGTTTCTTGTTCTCCTGAGTTTGTACCCTATGGTTGAATGCACTTATTGTACGTCGCTTTGGATAAAAGCGTCAGCTAAATGACATGTAATGTAATGTAATGTAATGTAATGTAAAGTCTCTGTGCTCTCCCTCCCCACAGGCTTCTGTGGATGGTGGTTCTATCTGATGGTGGTGGTCCCTGCAGTGGTCCTGCTGTGCGCCTGGCTTACTACTCACAATTACTTGAATCATTTCTGTCATAGGAATTGCATGTATTATACATTGTTCATTCTGTACACATGGCATCCATTGTAGTCTGTCCATCCCGGGAGTGGGATCCCTCCTCTGACGTTCTCCCTAATGTTTCTTCCCTTTTTTCCCTCTTGGAAGGTTTTTTTCATTTTTTGGGGAGTTTTTCCTGTGCCGATGGTGGGTTTCGCGGCAGAGGATGTTGTATGTGTACAGACTGTAAAGCCCTCTGAGGCAAATTTGTAATTTGCGATTATGGGCTATACAAAATAAAATGACTTGACTTGACTTGACTATATCCTGGCCATCACACTACATAATGGGCGTTTCGTGTTGACAACGACCCAACCCGGAAAGTCCACTGAGTGCACAAACCTAAAGGTTCCGACTTTGATCCATTTCTGTTCTTAAATCCTTAAATAACATTGAATACACGATACTAAAACAGCAGTTGGTGCGAGCATGTGGCTGTTCTGAAAAAGCTCTCAGAACATTGTGATGTTGGCGCTCATTTGAGGGACAGACTTGTGTGTGGACTAATCAATGTAAATATTCAAAGGAAACTGTTGACGGAGGAAGTGCTCACATTCCCGCGTGTTGTAGACACCACAATGTCGATGGAAGCTGTAGCAAGAGAATCTCAGCATTTGAAAAGTTCACGCTGTGTCGTTCTCATCGCCACAAGGGGGCGACAAATGCTTTCAAATCACAGCGGGCAGGATTGCTACTTTAGAGAACAGCAATGCCACAATTCCTAGAAAACAGGCCACATTGCTCATTTATGAAAAAGGAGTGATCAGAAATACACGAAGCAAAGATTTGAGGCAAAAATGAAACCAAAGCAGGGAACTGCTAGAACAGGAAAAATGAATAAGGATGAGACCAACTCATAGATAGTGATGGGGATTCTGCTTCAGATTCAGACTCTGAATTAAGATGCATATGGTTTCAGCAGTAGGCGACGCTGAGGCGGTGATGGCAGTAAGAAAAGGCAATGCAGCATCTTCTTCATTGATTATAAGGCCAAAGATTGAAGGCCATGTCATTGATATGGAGCTTGACACGGGAGCAGCTGTGTCTTTGATTTCAATGGAGCTGTACAAAGCCAAATTTGCCCTGATACGTTTACGCCAGACGCATGTAGTGTTGAAAACACACACAGGAGAGTTGCTGCTTCCCGAGGGAATGTTGAAAGTATCGGTGAAATTGAATAAACAGAAAGTTTGATTGCCCTTATATGTGGTGAAAGTGAAAGCACCACCACTGTCTGGTCGTGAATGGCTACGGAACATATGTTGTGTTCTTTTTGAACAACTTTGGCCCGATATAAAACACTCAAACTAGAGTAGAATTATGAAGAATGTTAATAAAATCAAAATGTGGTTGAATGTGTAGTTAAGTTCTTCAGTAAATGAACACAATGATCACTGTTTTATTTCATTGTTTCATATTTCTGAGTTCATTCTGTAAATGTCTGCACTCACTTCAGCAACAGGAAAGAAGAATCAGATGAAGAGAAGAGTCGGTTCTCACATCTGGAAACATATAGATAGAAATGCTGATTCATCACTTCCTCACTTTATCTTCACCACTTCTGTCTGTTCTTAGAAGCTGCTGAAGTTCTTTTAAAACATGATGAGGTGAAGAACATCTTCCTGAAAAGGATCCTGAACGAGAGTCAACTTGTGTGTGTTTCAGAGCAGCAACGCACAACTTTTACATTTCAGGGAAGAAAAGGACGAGTTTTTCTTTTCTTTGTGTCTGTCTCTGTGTGTATGTATGTATGTATTTATATTTATATATTTTCATTGGATAATAATTGTAATATTTTGTTTTTTCTAACATGTTTTTTATTTTTCTTGGTAGAGAGAAGTAACGAATGTTGGACACAGAGATGCAGAACCGAGCATAAAAATAAAGTGATGTGTGTTATGTTGTGAGTTCACTGCTAAAAACAGGGAGTCAACAAAACACGGACTCTTGTGTGACTTTAAGTTACTTGTTTCTACAGAGAAAACGTCTCTTGAAGGTTGGAGGTTGTTCTTGTTATCTTCTCTCTACACGTAATGATTCCTCCACACTAACTTCATCCACTTCTTCAACATAGTCTACTGTTATAATCACCTCTGGCTAAATCCTTCTTTAATGAAATTACCACTTCACTACTCTTAATTTAATCTTCTAATTTAATGTTATACCTATTCCACCCCCACTTTACATACTTCTATTTCACTTTAGCCTTCATTTAATTGAATATGTTCTGCTCTGCTGTTTTATTGTATTTTATTGTAGTGTGTACATATTTAACATCATATTTTCCTCACTGGGCTGTCGTACATCCTTTGCTCCTTCACTACCTGACAGGAGAAAAAAGTCCCAAAAAAAACACTTTTTCTGCGATGCGTTTAAGCGCTAAACTGATACTGTCAGCTGTATTCTGCCCATTGAAAGTTTGGGTTTCCAAAACAAAATCCCTCATTTCCCAGTTTTCAATGAGATGACATGTTACGGTCAAATATGCCTCTGTGGACACTGAGGTCCACATATCAGTGGTAAGTACAACGCTAGAATCATTTTGCAAAGATGCCTTACTTTGGCTTTGCGTTCATCAAACAGTTCTACAAGATGGGTCTCTGTCAGTTTCTTTATTCCTGGGAGTTTATATTTTGGGTCAAGAGCTCTCACAAATCCTTGGAAACCTTGGTCTTCCACTATGGACAGAGGCTGGAGATCCTCCGCAATCATCTCTGCCAGGCATCTTGTGAGTGTTGCTGCTCTTGGGGAATCATCTTTAAACAATTTAAAATCACAGCACAAAATTAACAAGGGGGCTACACTGTACTGAAATCTTAATCTTATTTTGTTTCAACTCAGTATGTGTGCATATGTATGCATGCATGTCGCTCCAAATAGCCTAGAAAAAGGGGATACAAACACTTGCTGTTTTATAATTCTGGGTGACTCAAGAATTGCCAGTAAAATGTCTCATATTCAGTGTTGTGGTTTGTTCGTGAGTGTTTTACTAGGTTGGTTGTGTTGAAACAACTCTTCAGGGTTATTCCACAGATGTCACACAGAGCATCCTGGCTGTTTGTGGAAGTGAAATAGCTGCACACATGACTTCTCTTCCGTTCCGACATTCTCTCTGTCTGCGAGAGCGAGCAGCAGCGTCAGCGTGCCACTGTGTTTAGGTATTAGGCACTTACCCAGGCGGAAGAGAAAGTAGTCCCTACCAGCGGCGCGTCATTTAGACAAGACCTGAATGGTTTAGTTACTTTCCACCAAATTCCTGTTAATGATATACATTACCACAAATTACTGAAGTATCAAAAGTATCGATATTTTCATTTCAAAGTCGATTTTAGAGCATACAGATCTGGTACCGATGGACATCGCGGAGAACTGTGAGTACAAACCCCTCTTTTCTGGGTGGAGGATCGCCGGAGCGCGTGTACCATCTTACAGACCATCAAATCCCGGGTGTTGAAGAGGTGTTTACGCGGAGTGTGTAGTGAATTGTGCGTGTGATCATAGATGTTCACGGTTTTTGTATCTGGGCTATGTTTATATCCTCTGACAGTACAGCAGCATATAGAAGTAGACCCTCTTCAACATCTCGCCCATACAACAGGGGTGTACAAGGACCCTGGCGAGGAGGGAGAAGGGGGGCTACATTGTTCTTCTGAGTTTGTGTCCGTATGGTTGAAATGTACTTATTGTAAGTCGGTTTGGATAAAAGCGTCAACTACATGACCTGTGATGTAACATTCCTTATGGAACGTTTATTGGCTGTAACGGTGTTAATATTACATTTGTTGACTTTGTGTTATTTTGAGGTGAATTCTGATCAGATTGTTTAGATGAATCCCTGTAAACTGCATCGATAGAATCTATCTAAATGAAACCTGAACAGCAGCGTTCTCTCCTTTTTATCATTGTCACGTGTCGTAGTTGGTTTGGTTTGAGTGACAGAGAGATGGAGGGAACCTGGAAGTGGAGAAGAAGACACACATCACATGTTCATAGAGACACATTCTCTCATTTCTCAAATTAGACTGAAGCAAAACATTCTCTTGCGAGTGATGCTACACTACACAAAACATTAAACTCAGTGGGTTAGAAGTTTAAGACCTGAAGCTGCTTTAATGCCGTTGGCTGCTTTGGTAAAGTGAAAGAAACCTGTAAACGTTCAGCAGCTTGATCCTCTCCTGCTGGGAGAGTGAACCTCATGTTCAACCGGGTAGCGGGGAGGAGATCCACGGTGGGGGAAGAGGACTGCGCTGAAATGAGGAACTCAGGAAGAACTTGGAATGATGTTCAGTGTACCGACTTTCTGCATTGGATCATTTCAAGGCTCAAGGGTTCAAGGATGTTTGCTGTCAGTGTGCAACAATGAAATGAAGTTGTAGCCTGTTTGTAACAACACGAGACTAATGACACAAAACAAAGATGAACTTCAGCGCTTGTGTGTGAGAGGTGTGACTTTCTCTTGTTGGTGTAAGTTGATGCTGCAGCTGTGACCCTGTAGGAAATAGAGGGTATCTTATCAACAGTAATGGAGGATTTATATGTTGAATATGATGAACCTGTCAACTCAAACCCAAGGACCAATCAGACAGGTGAGAGTGTGAACTGATGTGTCGTTATATAAAGTGTGTTTATTGCATTGATCCCTGTGTTCACTGGTCTGAACTGTGAGAGCAGAGAACAGACGTCATTGCAGCTGTTGTATTTTATGTACATATGTGGCTTTTCGCACCTCTGAAAAGTGAAACTTCCTCAAAAGTCACACTATTCATAAGCTGAAAGCAACGTCACGTTCATCATTTGACAGCTGGTTGTCTTCTCCTGACCAGTGTGCAGTAGGGTCTTCATGTGTCTATGTCCCAGCATCCTAAAGAACAGACCTCATGTGGCTGTCTTTCTGGCGCTGTGTGGTCTGCTGGCTGTAATCGGCGGTCTCAGTGTCCACGGTGAGTCTGGTCTTCATCCAACCTGAGATTTGAGAGAGTTCAGGTTGCTGGTTGTCATGACAACATTTGTTCAGTATCTTTATTATTTCCTGTGATAAGATGATGGGATGTTTCTGTAATATAGAACACAACAGTGATGTATTGAATCATGTCTTCATGTCTTCATGACTCAATGCATGCATCAGATGCTGAACTCTTCTCCATCAAAGCCAACCTGGCGGAGCGTCTCCGGGTCAGTGGAAACAAGCTGTCCTCAGTGTCTGCAGAGAGAGACCAGCTGAAGGACAAAGTCACTGCACTGACCCAAGAGAAGGACAGACTTCAGCTCTTGTGCAAACAGAGTGAGTGCTGGTCTTTGTTTGTTCTGCTGAGTCATGATTCTTTAATATATATATAAAATAAATCTGCTCTGTAATTTATATGTTCAGTCTGTTGGCCCTGTCTAAACTTCATTTAAACACACCACAGAACATATTTAGGTGCATTTCACTCTTTCTTATCTATTTTAGCGCTTTTTGTCAAAATGTATTTAAATATGGCATCTATCTCATTTGTATCGCCCGAAGTTGGCTGGGATGGACTCCAGCCCCCCTGCGACCCTGTGTGCAGGATAAGCGGATTGACAATGGATGGATGGATGGATCTATCTCATCTGATTCAATAAATAATGGCTTTGATAGTCGGTCTGAGGAGTCTCTGCAGACAAATGAGGCAGTGAGGAAGGTTATTAATGTGTTTATTGTTTTAAAAAGCAGAGAAACAGTTGTTTGCAAGTTTTCAAAAGTAATGTAAGGTTTAAAGTAAAAATGCTAATAGAAGAGATCAAATAGTTCAGAAGTCAAAATAGACGGTGTGACGAGCCTCCGCATGCACTCACCTCCTCCACTGAAACCACCGACTCCACGCGCCATTGTAGCAGCGTTAGAAACTCCTCTCCGACTACTTGTTTGTGTCGTCCTGTTGTCTGTTGTCATGGCCGTGTGGCCCGGACTGTGACAAGGGGTACAATTTAAAATGAAATAATGTATTTGTAACTAATGAATGTTAATTAAAGTAAAGGGATGTGTGTCACAGTGACGCTCCACAACTCGAAATAGAGTCAACAAAAACACACAACTTCCTCAGTTTAAAGACTCTTCTGTGAAGATGAATGTTTTTTCTTTTACAGAGAAAACGTGTCCTGAGGGGTGGACGATGTTCAGATGCTCCTATTATCTTCTCTCTACACGGGCTGATTCCTGGGAAAATGGCAGAAAGGACTGTAGAGACAAAGGAGCAGATCTGGTGATCATAGACTCACTTGAAGAACAGGTAGTGTGAAGTTATTCATTTGTTTCATTCACTTTTCCCTTGTGACAAACTCTGGCTTTGACAATTAAAGCCGATTTGTCTAGAAGCTGCATTCTGTGTAGTGACCAGCAGGGGGCGACTCCTCTGCTCCCATAGACGTCTATGAGGAAATGACTCTACTTCTCTGTAGTGACCAGCAGGGGGCGACTCCTCTGCTCCTATAGACGTCTATGAGGAAATGACTCTACTTCTCTGTAGTGACCAGCAGGGGGCGACTCCTCTGCTCCCATAGACGTCTATGAGGAAATGACTCTACTTCTCTGTAGTGACCAGCAGGGGGCGACTCCTCTGCTCCAATAGACGTCTATGAGGAAATGACTCTACTTCTCTGTAGTGACCAGCAGGGGGCGACTCCTCTGCTCCAATAGACGTCTATGAGGAAATGACTCTACTTCTCTGTAGTGACCAGCAGGGGGCGACTCCTCTGCTCCCATAGACGTCTATGAGGAAATGACTCTACTTCTCTGTAGTGACCAGCAGGGGGCGACTCCTCTGCTCCCATAGACGTCTATGAGGAAATGACTCTACTTCTCTGCAGTGACCAGCAGGGGGCGACTCCTCTGCTCCCATAGACGTCTATGAGGAAATGACTCTACTTCTCTCTTGATTTATTCCCTCAGTAAACATTGTAAACAAGCTTTTTCTCAACTGGCCACTACAATATGAGTACATCTGAGTACTTAATTGTTTTTGATGTTCATATTATTTTCATTCTGTGATATATTTTATTTTATGTATTTATGCCCCCCGGCTATATTCTGTATATTTGTCAATACTGATGTAGACCAAATATTCAGATAAGTCATTTTCTTTTCATCAGCTATAATACCTACATTACAACAACATTGAGCTGGTAATATAATTATTTTTCACAATGTTTAAAATAAATCCTTAAACCTCCTTAATACATTTAAAATAATAATTACATAATTCATATATTTTTATCTTCAACAGGAATTCCTTTCAAACTTCACCACAAGTCATAGTTGGATTGGTTTGAGTGACAAAGACATCGAGGGCACCTGGAAATGGATTGATGGAACTCCACTGACTGCAGCGTAAGACACACAACAATATTTAAAGATTGACACATATTCAACTATTGCTGCATCTATTGTTATTATTATTATTATCTTTAGTCTATTTCTTCCAATATTTGTTGTGAACTACACACATAAATAAACTCACTTGGTTATAAAATATTATTCTTCATTTTTATTTTACTGGAAAGACTTTAAGCTTCATTGAATGTTATTTTGGCCACTTTACTGAAGAGAACACTCCTGTGAAATGTCTTATCCTCCTCTTAGGTACTGGTACCGTACTGGTACTAGTCCCCGGTCGGTGGAGAACTGCGCTCAGATACAACCTGACCAGAACCCACAAAACAGCTGGAATGATGTGCCGTGTAACACTCCTTTGCGATGGATCTGTGAGAAACTGGCTTAATAATTGAAACATATCATCTGTAAACTGTGATTGTGTTTTGGCAAAAGGGCTTTAATGGTGTTGATGTAAGTTGCATTTAGAAACAGAAGGAGACCATGTAAGTCAGGTATCAAGTTCTTGAATTGATTTTTATAGTTTTACTTTGAAGTCTTTTTAATGGGAAATGAACATCTTTATTGTGCACGTGTGTGTGTGTGTGTGTGTGTGTGTGTGTGTGTGTGTGTGTGTGTGCTGGTGACAAGAATCAAAGCTGCATATTGTACTAAATAGATATTTGAATAAAAAGCTTCATCCTGAAATACATTTCTTAGAGCAACAAAGGCGACTTGAGCTGTTTTCATTAAATATGTCACATTCACCAACGCAGCCAGCTAGTATGAACATCTGCTCATGTCCCTCAATAACTACTATGATACAGTCCACTTAACACATAGCATGAGACAGCAGGTGCACTTCTTGTCATGTAAATGTCTTCAGGACTTGTCCTTTCTAGGGACGCTCTAAGTCCGTTCCTGTTGGGTGTGAGAGAAGGTCGCCATCAAGTGTTGGATTTGAACACTTGCATGCAGGTGTCTTTTTACACTCAGCAGTGCGCTCTGAACCAAGTGTTGATTGTGGGTCACCAACAGACTCACAACCTGTGGCTGTGTCTCCTTTGGTGGGCTGCGTCCTCATGAGGACTCAGCCTTTGCAGTCGACCTGCGCCGTGTCCTCCAACGACCGCATAGGCTGAACCGAGCGTCTCTGAAAGGAGACGTCTGGTCCACGGGGAGACTTCCTGTGTACGTCCTCAGCTTATAAAATGCTGATAGAGAAGCTAAACTTCTTATTCCATCTAAATAGGAAGATATGCTTCACCTCTGGAGCATTAAATATTATTTCAGGCTGAGACGTGTGGAGTTCTGAACCTCTGATCAAGGATCACTTCTGTTACCCTCGAACCTTCTGAGACGACAAGTTATAAAGAGTCAGCAGTTTAAAAATTATAAAGAATTTAACAACTAATGGAAGTAATAAGAAATACAGTTACAAAGTGAAATAAAGTATGAATAGTGTAATTTTTTTTTGCGACCATCAATATTGGTTCACAGGAGGCTTCGGTCTCCTCCTCCTCCAGCTCAGCTCCTCCAATCTCCAGGGGGGGGGCGTGTCCCTTGTGGTGTTGTCGTATGTGATTGGCTGCACATTCAAGCCCAGCTCCGCCCTCGTGAATTCCTTTCTACATCACACCTCCCTGCTCCAACATTTGGTCGAATCTGCAGTCCCTCTCTGACCTGATCGATCCCTGTTCACTTAACGCAGGTGAATGGACGTTCTGGCAGAAATCCTTTTCTTGTTTCTCCAGCAGCAGAAATACATCCACCCGGCGCTATCGGTACACTCCCTCCATACTCGCACACAGCAACAACAACAACATAGAATTCTACTAACAAACCTGACTAGTAGTGATGTGTCGTTCGTTAACGAGTCGTTCATTTTGAACGAATCCTCACAAGGACTCGAGAGTAACGAGTCCTCTCAAAAGAACATTTGTTCATTTTCTGGTGGCCACGCATCGGGACTTGCAAATTGTAAGACTACGGTTCAAGATTTGGACCCTGGTCGGGGTTATCAAAAATTCAGCCGAATGACGTCTCTCGTTCTGGGAAATTTATTTGTCAGATCACAGGTCAACTATCAGCGCTGCGTTTGCAAAGGCAGGAGCAGTTCAGGCAGCACACAGGCCGGAAGAACAACTCACTAACATCAGCAAGAACATCATGTCTTATAACCCTTGAAAGACAGAGAAGGAAAGATTTCTATTGGCCCTAAACTGGCGTAGAGGAGGACCTTCCACCTCCCGCATCTAAGATCCGGTCACATCCGATGTCCAGACTCCTGACTCAACGTAAACGTCAGCGAACACAGTGTCTATGTTGAATAGTGTTGGTGTGTCTCTAACCCCCCTTTGGCTGGTAAAGCTGCTAGTTGACCCGCAGACCTTGCATTCCTCAGCCAGGACATAAACTGACTCCCCATCCTGTCAGACTCGTATCTGCCTGCTCGGCACATCCTGCTTCCCCCTTCACCTAACTCTTAAATCAAGACAAGACAGCAAACCCCCAACTAAGCCCATGAAAAGAACTTTTGATTATCAGTAGGCTCAGCCAAGGAAACAGAAATGATTTCTTGAATGCAGGTCACGTGGAAAATGATACTTCTGCCAACCAAGTGGTCCCAGTGCTGAGCCTACGCAGGTCACGTGAACAATGAACGATGAACGAAACATTGACCCGAAGACTCGGTCGGGAGGTGAACGATTCGTTCATCGGCCGGATACAGATCTTTAGATCATTTTTCACGTGACCTGCATAGGCTCAGCACTGATCCACGCTAGCATCGGGCTAACGTCCCCGTCCATCCACGCTAGCATCAGGCTAATGATCCCATCCATCCACGCTAGCATCAGGCTAATGATCCCATCCATCCACGCTAGCATCAGGCGAACCCTTACATACACCACATAATAACAACGTCGCTACCAGACTGTGGACTTTACCGCTTTATAACAAAGCTTTTTTGCATTATAAATGGACCAGTACCGCCGCTGCCCATTTTCAACACAGGGGGCCGGCTATGCCCCGGAGAGCTCAGTGTTGTGTGGACGGGACGGGGCTATATCCTGGCCATCACACTACATAATGGGCGTTTCGTGTTGACAACGACCCAACCCGGAAAGTCCACTGAGTGCACAAACCCAAAGGTTCCGACTTTGATCCATTTCTGTTCTTAAATCCTTAAATAACATTGAATACACGATACTAAAACAGCAGTTGGTGCGAGCATGTGGCTGTTCTGAAAAAGCTCTCAGAACATTGTGATGTTGGCGCTCATTTGAGGGACAGACTTGTGTGGACTAATCAATGTAAATATTCAAAGGAAACTGTTGACGGAGGAAGTGCTCACATTCCCGCGTGTTGTAGACACCACAATGTCGATGGAAGCTGTAGCAAGAGAATCTCAGCGTTTGAAAAGTTTGCTGAAAGTTCACGCTGTGTCGTTCTCATCGCCACAAGGGGGCGACAAATGCTTTCACATCACAGCGGACAGGATTGCTACTTTAGAGAACAGCAATGCCACAATTCCTAGAAAACAGGCCACATTGCTCATTTGTGTAAAAGGAGTGATCAGAAATACACAAAGCAAAGATTTGAGGCAAAAATGAAACAACAGCAGGGAACTGCTAGAACAGGAAAAATGAATAATGATGAGACCAACTCATAGATAGTGATGGGGATTCTGCTTCAGATTCAGACTCTGAATTAAGATGCATATGGTTTCAGCAGCAGGCGACGCTGAGGCGGTGATGGCAGTAAGAAAAGCCAATGCAGCATCTTCTTCATTGATTATAAGGCCAAAGATTGAAGGCCATGGCATTGATATGAAGCTTGACACGGGAGCAGCTGTGTCTTTGATTTCAATGGAGCTGTACAAAGCCAAATTTGCCCCGATACGTTTACGCCAGACGCATGTGGTGTTGAAAACACACACAGGAGAGTTGCTGCTTCCCGAGGGAATGTTGAAAGTATCGGTGAAATTGAATAAAAGAAAGTTCGATTGCCCTTATATGTGGTTAAAAATTATAAAGAATTTAACAATTAATAGAAGTAATAAGAAATAAAGTTACAAAGTGAAATAAAGTATGAATAGTGTAAAAAAATGTTGTGACCATCAATATTGGTTCACAGGAGGCTTCTGTCTCCTCCTCCTCCAGCTCAGCTCCTCCAATCTCCAGGGGGGGGCGTGTCCCTTGTGGTGTTGTCGTATGTGATTGGCTGAAAGGTTTTCAAGGTTCACTGACACTAAAACCGGATCAATAGCCCGAGTTTGTCAAGTGTGTGTTTTCCTGTACGCATTAAGACCAAGAAGGGAAGCGGAAAAGAGGAGGCACCCCGTCACACCTGTATCGCACACACACACCTGCTGAACCCAGGGTACACAAACGTCACACGGAGACGAGACGATCATGTTGGTGGTTGACGAAGTCACGATACTTTCTTCCCCCTAAATTCGCACGCAGCTGACAGACAACAGACCGGCAAAGTAGGGCGGTTATTAACGCGTCATGATGACGTCATCCACCAACCCAGAACGCGCGCAGCGCTGCAGCGATGGTTCTTGTGCACCGACTGCGGACCGCGACGACTATTTTACGCTTCGGCTTCGTTAGTTTAGCTCAGCTGTCTCGGGTTAGCTGACTGTTAGCTGCCTGTTAGCTGCCTGTTAGCAGGCTGAAGCCGCGCTGCTTCACAGAAACATGAAGACACGTTTAAAGACTGTCGGAACTTTCTGCTCTGTTCTCTGGCGACGGCAGGCAGCGTTTCCTCGCTGGATGAGACGCTCCGTCACAAACGCGTCTAACGTAATAAACTCATTGCAGGTTCTGAAGCCTCACGCATTTCAACTGTAGTTCACGCGCCACATCGTGAGAAGACTGTTAAACCGTCTCGGCCACCGTACGTTCGTTACTAAGCAACATAGAGGCGCCACACACGTGACAGGTGGACCCTTTTGGTAGAAGTGCGCAGTGCAGGTAAAGGACGTGGCGGCGCAGAGCAGGTGGAGGAAAATCCGCAGGACACAAGAGACAAGAACTGGTCATGAAACCAAAGAATAAACAAAGAGACAAAGAGAAAGAAAAGACTGTTGAATGTGGGGGTTCAGTTTAGAATGACTGGTTTATGATGCAGCCAAGAAAATAATGTCTTGCAACGATTGTAGGACGTTAAGGTCTCTTTTGTTGGGACAGTGGAAACAATAAAGGACCATGAAGTGTCAAAAGCGTTGCAAGTAAACAAAGACAACAGTGTTGCGTTTAGGTCCCTGGTCCTCATGAAGTTGTTACACCTTTGCCAATTTGTTAAATTGCCTTGCAAATAAATGCTTTGCTATTTGTTAAAATCCAAATCCTTTCATGTAATGATTTTTCACATGTCATTTATATCAGCGCACACAAACACTTGTTCTTGGTCCGGCTCCTCCGTCACATTTTACAACCCGTTGTGGCCCGCGAGTCAAAAAGTTTGCCGACCACTGCTATAGACCTGTCCTAGGAGGGACATCTATAGACCTGTCCTAGGAGGGACATCTGATGGACAACCAAGTACTGCAAGCTAGACTATTATGCAGTTATAGACACAACACAGGGGTCCCTGGGCCCGAGAAGGGAAGAAAAGGAGCTTAATATGACTATTAAATGAAACTAAACTAAATACATTTTAGTCTAGTTTTCGTCGACTAAAACTAAGAAGGATTAAAATGACTAAATGTGACTAAAACTAATAAGCATTTTTCGTCTAAAGACTAAGACTAAATCAAAAATAGCTGCCAAAATTAACACTGCACAGGACTAATGAAAAAAACAAAGATGTACTTTAGCACTTGACCATTTAAGGAATTAATGTCACGCTGTTCCTGTTGGGTGTAAGAGAAGTGCTGCCTTTAAGGTTTGAGGTTCAACAGACATTCTTATAGTAGAACATTTAAAAAAGGAAAGAAAATTGTGCGTGTGAGAGGTGTGACTTTCTCTTGTTGGTGTAAGTTGATGCTGCAGCTGTGACCCTGTAGGAAATATCTTATCAACAGAGATGGAGGATTTATATGTTGAATATGATGAACCTGTCAACTCAAGCAGACAGGTGAGAGTGTGAACTGATGTGTAGTTACATAAAGTGTGTTTATTGCATTGATCCCTGTGTTCACTGGTCTGAACTGTGAGACAGAGAGCAGACTTCATTGCACCTGCTGTATTTTATGTACATATTTGGCTTTTCGCACCTCTGAAAACTGAAACTTCCTCAAAAGTCACTATTCATAAGCTGAAAGCAACGTCACGTTCATCATTTGACAGCTGGTCGTCTTCACAGCGATGGACGAAGTCTACGCTAACGTTGAATACGACAAGTCTCAGGTTTCCATAAGACCTTCAACACCTGCCCCAGGTAAGAATGATCAGTCTGTGCATCTTCACCTGACCAGTGTGCTGACTGGTCTTCATGTGTCCAGGTCCCAGCAGCCCAAGGAGCAGACCTCATGTGGCTGCTCAGTGTCCTCCTGCTGGCTGGACTCGTCTGTCTCGGTGTCCACGGTGAGTCTGGTCTTCATCCAACCTGAGATTTGAGAGAGTTCAGGTTGCTGGTTGTCATGACAACATTTGCTCAGTATCTTTATTATTTCCTGTGAAAAGATGATGGGATGTTTCTGTAATATAGAACACAACAGTGATGTATTGTATCACGTCTTCATGTCTTCATGACTCAGTGCATGCATCAGCTGCTGAACTCTCCTCCATCAAAGCCAACCTGACGGAGCGTCTTCAGGTCAGTGGAGACAAGCTGTCCTCAGTGTCTGCAGAGAGAGACCAGCTGAAGGACAAAGTCACTGCACTGACCCAAGAGAAGGACGGACTTCAGCTCTTGTTGAAACAGAGTGAGTGCTGCTCTGTGTTTGTTTAAACTGTTTCCTAAAGAAATACTTCTGTAACTAATGAGTCAATTGATTGAATAAATAATTGTTCTGGTGGTCAAGTATAAATAGTCTCCACCGACTTTTAAATTAGGGAACCGAGGAATTTTATTCAGTTATTTATTGTATTTAAAACGACTAGAGAAAAGAAGTTGTTCTTAGTCTCCCTTCAACAATGCTTATTCAATACGTTTGTTTTAAAATGATGGAAGTAAAGATGATGATTGGAGATGAAACAGAAGTTCAAATAGTGAGTGTACAACTACAGTATGATATATAAAAGGAAATAATCTATCCGTGTTAGATGATCATAGTGTGTTCATACTGAATGTTTGTCGCTAAGATGCAGAACAGGACATTAAAATGAAGCGATGTGTGTCACAGTGACGCTCCACAACTCAAAATAGAGTCAACAAAAACACACAACTTCCTCAGTTTAAAGACTCTTGTGTGAAGTTAAATGTTTCTTTTACAGAGAAAACGTGTCCTGAGGGGTGGACGATGTTCAGATGTTCCTGTTATCTTCTCTCTACACGGGATGGTTCCTGGGAAAATGGCAGAAAGGACTGTAGAGACCAAGGAGCAGATCTGGTGATCATAGACTCACTTGAAGAACAGGTAGTGTTGTTGTTATTAATGTTATTAGTTATTTTTAGTTTCATTTTGTTTTCCTCAGGGCCCCGTTCCTCGTACGTGGTTAACTGAGTTAGCCGGATCATTTTCAGGATAAGATGATGTAGATCAGGTTTTTCGGTTCCCCGAAGCAGGTTTAACCAAATCACCATAGCAACACATTGAAAAGCTCTCCTCCTCATTGATGGAGGAGCCACATGAGTCAGATTAACGTTTTATAAGGAGAGAGTTCAGAGATCATGAAGACCCGTCATCACGTCACCATGACGTCCTGTACGAGCGCCATCGATCGTTTATAGAGTTTCTCACACACTGTCCCTCACACTGTCTCACACACTGTCCCTCACACTGTCTCTCACACTGTCCCTCACACTGTCCCTCACACTGTCTCACACACTGTCCCTCACACTGTCTCTCACACTGTCCCTCACACTGTCTCTCACACTGTCTCACACACCGTCCCTCACACTGTCTCCCACACTGTCTCCTCACACTGTCTCCCACACTGTCCCTCACACCGTCTCCCACACTGTCCCTCACACCGTCTCCCACACCGTCTCCCACACTGTCTCCCACACTGTCTCCTCTCACCTCACGCGAGGCACCATTTTGTTGGGCACGACGTAGGAGTAATGCGTTGGTTAATAACTAGTGTGAAATTAAATCATTGACATCAATAGAATTCTTCATAATCGCCAAGATAATTCACAAAATTAAAAAAAACGGGCCACCACCCTAGAAAGGGACTAATAACCAAACTGTAAATCAAGTCTCATTATTGATATTCTGTTTGGTTGGTTTATTTGTTGCTTAATAAACGGCTTCAATTGAATGTCTGATTATGAACAATAGATATATACTGATACAGTTCTATGTGGTCCACATACATATATTCACATACATATGATACATAAGCTGATACAGTACATTTATCCTCATAACTATTCATTCGTATCAATAATACTCTTTGGGCTTGTTTTCATATACTTATTCTTAAAAAGTTGAGATAATTATTCTCATTGGATGATATGAAGCATCCTGCCAGCACATTTAAAGAAATATAATATAATTGATTAAAGTGATGAGGCACTTAAAGTGAGCCTATACATTTTAACAACACTTCAATTCATCCAACTTGTCTGTGATATTTTGTCGGGCTTGTAGTCTCGCAGTTTTTGCCATGATTATTTGATTATCCATCCATCCATCTTCAACCGCTTATCCGGGGTCGGGTCGCGGGGGCAACAGGCTCCAGCAGGGGACCCCAAACTTCCCTTTCCCGGGCCACATCTACCAGCTCTGACTGGGGGATCCCAAGGCGTTCCCAGGCCAGTGCAGAGATATAATCTCTCCACCTAGTCCTGGGTCTTCCCCGGGGCCTCTTCCCAGCTGGCCGTGCCTGAAACACCTCCCTAGGGAGGCGCCCAGGGGGCATCCTCACCAGATGTCCAAACCACCTCAACTGGCTCCTTTCGACGCAAAGGAGCAGCGGCTCTACTCTAAGCTCCTCACGAATGGCTGAGCTTCACACCCTATCCCTAAGGGAGACGCCAGCCACTCTCCTGAGGAAACCCATTTCGGCCGCTTGTACCCGTGACCTAGTTCTTTCGGTCATGACCCATCCTTCATGACCATAGGTGAGGGTAGGAACGAAGATTGACCGGTAGATCGAGAGCTTTGCCTTCCGGCTCAGCTCTCTTTTCGTCACAACGGTGCGGTAAAGCGAGTGCAATACCGCCCCCGCTGCTCCGATTCTCCGGCCAAACTCACACTCCATCTTCCCCTCACTCGTGAACAAGACCCCGAGGTACTTGAACTCCTTCACTTGGGGTAAGGACACATTCCCTACCTGGAGTAGGCAATCCATCGGTTTCCTGCTGAGAACCATGGCCTCAGATTTAGAGGTGCTTATCCTCATCCCGACCGCTTCACACTCGACTGCGAAACGCTCCAGTGAGAGTTGGAGGTCACAGACGGAAGATGCCATCAGGACCACATCATCTGCAAAAAGCAGCGATGAGATCCGCAGCCCCCCGAACTGTAGACCCTCCTCCCCCCGACTACGCCTCGATATCCTGTCCATGAAGACCACAAACAAGATTGGTGACAAGGCGCAGCCCTGGCGAAGGCCAACCCCCACCGGAAACGCCTTCGACTTACTGCCGAGCACCCGAACACAGCTCTCGCTTTGGGCGTACAAGGATTGGATGGCCCCAAGCAAGGACCCCCTCACCCCGTACTCCCGCAGCACCTCCCACAGTATCTCTCGGGGGACCCGGTCATACGCCTTCTCCAAGTCCACAAAACACGTAGACTGGTTGAGCATACTCCCAAGCCCCCTCTATGATCCTGGAAAGAGTGAAGAGCTGGTCCGTTGTTCCACGACCAGGACGAAAACCGCATTGTTCCTCTTCAATCCTTGGTTCGACTATCGGCCGAACCCTCCTTTCCAGCACCTTAGAGTACACTTTACCCGGGAGGCTGAGTAGTGTGATACCCCTGTAATTGGCACACACTCTCTGGTCCCCCTTTTTGAAGAGGGGTACCACCACCCCGATCTGCCACTCTTTTGGCACTGTCCCAGACTTCCACGCAATGTTGAAGAGGCGTGTCATCCAAGACAACCCCCCAACACCCATTGCTTTTAGCATCTCTGGACGGATCTCATCAATCCCCGGGGCTTTGCCACTGCGGAGTTGTTTGACTACCTCAGTGACTTCCACCAGGCTAATTGACGATGATCCCTCTTCCGCCTCCAGCTCCGCCTCCACCAAAGAGGGGGTAGTAGTTGGGTTCAGGAGTTCCTCAAAGTGTTCCTTCCACTGCCCGATAACCTCCTCAGTCGCGGTCAACAGGGTCCCATCCTTACTGTACACAGCTTGGATGGTTCCCCGTTTCCCCCTCCTGAGGTGCCGGATGGTCTTCCAAAAACACTTTGGTGCCGAACGAAAGTCCTTCTCCATAGTTACCCCGAACTCCTCCCATACTCGCTGCTTTGCCTCCATCACGGCAGAGGCTGCTGCCCTTCGAGCCTGTCGGTACACTGCAACTGCCTCTGGAGTCCCACCGGATATCATAACCCGGAAGGCCTCCTTCTTCAGTCGGACGGCTTCCCTGACCACCGGTGTCCACCACGGAGTTCGAGGGTTACCGCCCCTTGATGCACCTAAGACCTTGAGGCCACAACTCACCGCCGCGGCTTCAGCAATGGAGGTTTTGAACATAGACCACTCTGGTTCAATGTCCCCTACCTCCACAGGAATGTGAGAGAAGCTCCGCCGGAGGTGTGAGTTGAAAATCTTTTGGACCGGGGCCTCCTCCAGACGTTCCCAGTTCACCCTCACTACACGCTTGGGTTTACCGGGTCTGTCCCGAGTCTTCCCCCATCCTCTGACCCAGCTCACAACCAGATGGTGATCAGTTGACAGCTCTGCCCCTCTCTTTACCCGAGTGTCCAGAACATGCGGCCTCAGATCAGACGATACGATTACAAAATCGATCATTGATCTTTGGCCTAGGGTGCTCTGGTACCACGTACACTTATGAACATCCTTATGTTCGAACATGGTGTTTGTTATGGACAATCCGTGACTAGCACAGAAGTCCAGTAACAAACACCCGCTCGGGTTCAGATCAGGGAGGCCATTCCTCCCAATCACGCCTCTCCAGTTATCTCCATCGTCGCCCACGTGCGCATTGAAGTCTCCCAGTAGGACTATGGAGTCCCCTACTGGAGCCCCATGCAGGACTCCATTCAGGGTCTCCAAAAAGGCCGAATACTCTGAGCTGCTGTTTGGTGCATATGCACAGACAGCAGTCAGAGTTTTCCCCCCCACCACCCGAAGGCGTAGGGAGGCGACCCTTTTGTCCACTGGGGTAAACTCCAATGTAGCAGCACTCAGCCGGGGACTTATGAGTATCCCCACACCTGCCTGGCGCCTCACACCATGGGCCACTCCGGAGTAGAATAGAGTCCACCCCCTATCCAGGAGTTTGGTTCCAGAGCCGAGGCTGTGCGTAGAGGTAAGCCCCACCAGATCCAACTGATAACGCTCCACCTCCCGCACAAGCTCCGGCTCCTTCCCCCCCAGAGAGGTTACGTTCCACATCCCCAGAGCCAGCATCTGCCGCCCAGGTCTGTTCCGTCTAGACCCCCCACTGTCACTGCCACCCTTGTAGCAGCGCACCCGACCCCATCGGTTTCCTCCACAGGTGGTGAGCCCATGGGGAGTAGAGTGTTGGGCTGCCGCGTCACTCCTTCGGGAGTTATTTGATTAGATTCATTTTATTTTCTGTAGCACAAAATCACAATTTTAGAGTCTGAGAATTGTCTGTTATCAACGTGAAGCGGAACTTTAGTCAATGAAAGTTCAGTTTTTTATTCATTATTTCAGTTAAAAGTAACAAGATCACCACAGTCAAACAAACTAGATGGCGAGAAGCTAAATGAGACACCAGAGTGATTTTATACAGTTCTTCAATACAGTCTACTTAGTTCATATTTAGAGCTCTAAATATTTACATGCTCTTTATTTAGATTTGATTATTAACATAAGTTGTGGATGTGGATACAAATACGGACACATTCTGTTAGAGCGTTTATCCTTAGAAGGTACAATGACAACAATATTCCATATTTTGAGCTACCACTACTTTTTGGAAGTAGATTCTTATTAAATTGTTCAGATGGATCCCTGTAAACTGAATTAATGATATGTTTAAAAATGCAACATAAATACCTACATTCTATGCTTTTTATTTTGAACAGAAATTCCTCTCAAGCATCGTCAAAAGTCAGACTTGGATTGGTTTGAGTGACAGAGACATCGAGGGCACCTGGAAATGGATTGATGAAACTCTACTGACTGCAGCGTAGGACACGACAATATTTAAAGATCGACACATATACAACTATTGCTGCAAATATCTTTATTTTTAGTGTAATTCTTATAATATTGGTTGTGCACTACACAGGTAACTAAACTCACTGGGTTGGAAAATGTTATTCCTCATTTTCATTTTACTGGAAAGACTTTAAGCTTCATTGAATGTAATTTTAGTGAAGAGAACATTCCTGTGAAAGTTCACCGTCTTATGCTCCTCACAGGTACTGGTCCACTTATCCTTATGGGCCTCAGCCTGATAACGGGGGAGGAGACCCCCGGTGGGGGGAGGAGGACTGCGCTCACATAGAAGCTGAGCAGAACCCACAAAGAAACTGGAATGATCTGCGTTGTGACGCTGTTATGAGATGGATCTGTGAAAAACTGCCTTAATAATTGAAACATATCATCTGTAAAGTGTGATTATTGCCGGGGGAGAATTTGTTGAGCTGCATATTGTGAGTGTCTCAAGAACTCTTATGTGGGAAATTTTGGGAAACTCGTGACCTGACCAAGTCCACGAAGGCATCCAGGTTTCCAGATGGGGCCTGGACAGACCGTATCCTGTTCTTATCTCCTTCCGTCCATTTCTGTCTGCCAAATATGATTTAGGTCCCATTAAGAGGGGGTCGCAGATGTTCCTAAACCACATCTGTTTACCACCCATCTCCCTTGATTGGGGGGAGGGGAGTTGAGGGTCTTCCTCTTCCCTCTTCCTCGAAACTTCAGAGATGGATGAAAGCTCCTGCTCTCCCCCAGAATCTTTGTCAGATCTTCTCGCTCCTCTTGGGAGAGAGAACCGTCTGTCCCTTTTCAGCTGAATTGTAGTCATTTGACTTGTGTTGATGATTTCTGTATTCTTATGATTTTTCTTATATTCTAGTTAGTAAAATACTTAATCACAAGCAAGTCTCTGATACTTCTATTTCTCACAAGGGCTGAATCCACAATTTCCACCACAATTGTGTTTTGGCAAAAGGTCTCTAACGGTGTTGTTATATGTTGTATATAGAGAGAAGCAGACCATGTAAGTCGGGTATCGGGTTCTTAGTAGGAGTTTATTTTTAAAGTTTGACTCTTTTTATTAAGAAATGAACAGAAGGTGCAGCATGTGTACTTGTATGTAATGTAAATGTCTTCAGGACTTGTCCATTCTAGGGACGTCTCTCAGTCGTGTTCGTGTGCATCACTTGTTTGTTGCTTCCTGAGTTGGTCGGGTGAGCTCATCTCTCACTGTCTCTGAGTATTTGGGTCTTTTTACTCTCAGAAGTGAGCTCTCACTTGGTGCGCTGCATCCTCACGAGGACGAGGCCTTCACGGTCGACGTGCGCCGTGTCCCCCTACGGCCACACAGGCTGAACCCAGCGTCCTTGAAAGGAGACGTCTGGTCCACGGGGAGACTTCCTGTTGCTGTGGTTTTAATGTTCGACTGGAGCCACAACAGGAAACAAGGTCTCATTAGAGTTTATTGGGGGGCTTGCATCATATTTCCACAGTTCTACGTATATAGAAAGAAAGGAGATTACGACATTTGATGCGTCATAATGGGGAAGTCAGTCTCTAAATCCTAACAAATCATCTACAAAATGTATAGATAAATAAAGCTCTACTTACATTGGAATCAGTCCAACAGACACGTGGAAACAGACCAAACACAGATGTCAGGTTTGAAAACAGGAAGTTGGCCTCAACCAGGCCTCTATTTATGGTGTGGAGCGAACAACAGTGAACGCAGGCTGTCCGGAAACCATCGGCCAGCTTCTCACTGTGACGCCATCTTCTTCTGCCACAGAGTTCACTTGAGTTTACTATTAAGATTCTCCAAATTCCAATGAACTAATATATAAACTTCTGGCTCTTAGAGAGGGGAAATACCTTAAAGTACAGCTGTTGCTAACAGTTAATATATTGCTCATAGTTTCAGGTTAAACAGTTTGATGCTGCAGTTTTGTATAAGAAATAAATTTGTCAAACAAATCTCTTTTTAATGTCGTCATTTTGCACTTTTTTTCTTTTTTAAGTATTGGCTGAAGCACCGTTTAGGCAGCGGTATTGTTTATTAGTGATCAATCCTACTGAGGGAAAACTTAAGTGTTTCAGTCAGACCAGAATTCACACCTCACACTCACCTGTAGACTCCAATGTGATGTTGTCACTCATACAAAATGACAGAAACGACTCGTACAGACCCCAAAACGTTTGGATCCATTATGGGAATATATGTATCTGTAAAAATATAACACGCCAGTTATTTGAACATATCTGTTTTTACCAGACACCATATGTGGTTTAAAGTTACTCGTTTCCCTTTGGGCTTTGTATTCCATCCAACAGGTGGAAGATACCAATGGTCACATGGTGGATGACACCATGTCGTCCCTTCATGATGTTCAGAGGAGACAACTATCCCGCACCACGTGCACGCACACTTTCACACCTTCCCCCCTTCCCCCGGAAAGGTGCCATTTATTAATACTACCGTTGGAGCCTATTTGTAACACTTTGTTGCATTGATCCCTTTGTTCACTGGTGAACTGTGAGAGCAGAGAGAGCGGACGTCAACGCAGCTGTTCTTCTGCTTTATTGTAAGTACATATGTGGCTTTTAGCAACTCTGAAAACCTGAACCTTCTGAAGTCAAATTATTCATCAGCTGAAAGCCACGTCGCGTTCATCATTTGACAGCTGGTCGTCTTCACAGCGATGGACGAAGTCTACGTTAACGTTAAATACGTGAAGTCTCAGGTTTCCATAAGACCTTCAACACCTGCCCCAGGTAAGAATGATCAGTCTGTACATCTTCACCTGACCAGTGTGCTGACTGGTCTTCATGTGTCCAGGTCCCAGCAGCCCGAGGAGCAGACCTCATGTGGCTGTTGCTGTCTCTCTGGGGCTGCTCAGTGTCCTCCTGCTGGCTGGACTCGTCTGTCTCGGTGTCCTCAGTGAGTCTGATCTTCATCCAACCTGAGATTTGAGAGAGTTCGGGTTGCTGGTTGTATAAAAACATGCTGAAATCATTAAAATAATAATTTGGCGCAACAACTGACTCTGTACAGCGATATCACCCAATGTCCTCCTGGTGACATGTAACATGTCTTCATAACTCAGTGCATGCATCAGCTGCTGAATTCTACTCCATCAAAGCCAACCTGACGGAGCGTCTCCGGGTCAGTGGAGACAAGCTGTCCTCAGTGTCTGCAGAGAGAGACCAGCTGAAGGACAAAGTCACTGCACTGACCCAAGAGAAGGACGGACTTCAGCTCTTGTTAAGACAAAGTAAGTGCTGGTCTGTGTGTCTTCTGCTGTTTAACTCTTCCCTAAAGAAATACTTAATAATTAGTAGTTTTATTCATGTCTTTGCTTTCCTTCAAATGAGGGAATTGCGGAATTGTACTGTAAGTTATTAATTGGATTTAAAACAACCAGAAAAAAGCAGTTGTTTGAAAAGAAAATCTTAAGTTCTCAATCTACCTTCAATATTACTTATTAAGTACATTGTCAAAGTATGAGTATGAAGGAGATGAAACAGTTAGAAGTATATAGTCAAATATAGGGATACGCTATGACATATAAAATGAAATAATAAAGTGTGTGTCACAGTGACGCTCCACAGCTGAACGCTCTAAATACAGATTCAGCAAAAAACACAACTTCCTCCTTTCTCATTTTAGGACATTAAAGGTTTCTTCTTTTCCAGAGAAAACCATTTATCATCATTGAACTCGTGAACCGTGAAAAGGGGTACAATATAAAATAAAATAATGTATTTGTAATTAATGAATGTTAATTAAAGTAAAGTGATGTGTGTCACAGTGACGCTCCACAGCTCAAAATAAAGAGTCAACAAAAACACACAAGAACTCTTGTGTGATGTTAAATGTTTCTTCTTTTACAGAGAAAACGTGTCCTGAGGGGTGGACGATGTTCAGTCCCTCCTGTTATCTTCTCTCTACACGGTATGGTTCCTGGGAAAATGGCAGAAAGGACTGTGGAGACCAAGGAGCAGATCTGGTGATCATAGACTCACTTGAAGAACAGGTAGTGTGAAGATATTTATTGTTATATTCAGTTTTTTCCATTGATGACAAACTCTGGCTTTTACAATTAAAGCCAATTTGTGACCTAGTATGTTTTTTGGCCTCTGCTCCAAAATATTATACCCATGAAAAAAGTGTAATAACTCTGGAACTACTATGTCTATCTGGACATTTCTCTGTCAGGATAAAGGGAACCCCAGTGAGTGTTCTGATGTGAAAACCCGGTTTAAATTTTACTGGTGAAGAAATAAATCAATATAACACCTCAAATTTTGAGAATCGCCAGAAAAAGAATCACTAACAGCCCTATAAGTACTTTAATACATGGAGATACCAGAGTAAAAATGTTTCAAACAGATGATTTACACGAGTACACGATATTCCTGTTGGACGTTTGTTCTGGCTCAGTTTTTCACCCACATGGTAGAAGCTCGTTGTCGACAGGTTAAAGTCAATTTGTGTTGAAGCTGCATTCTCTGTAGTGACCAGCAGGGGGCTCCCATAGACGTCTATGAGGAAATGACTCTACTTCTCTGTAGTGACCAGCAGGGGGCGACTCCTCTGCTCCCATAGACGTCTATGAGGAAATGACTCTACTTCTCTGTAGTGACCAGCAGGGGGCGACTCCTCTGCTCCCATAGACGTCTATGAGGAAATGACTCTACTTCTCTGCAGTGACCAGCAGGGGGCGACTCCTCTGCTCCCATAGACGTCTATGAGGAAATGACTCTCTTCTCTCTTGATTTATTCCCTCAGTAAACATTGTAAACATGAGTTTATGGTCTCAGTCTCTAGTTTCAAGTCGTCTTCAACACAGATGACGTTCATTTAGTGAATTATGCTCCATGTAGAGTCAAATTCAGCTTTGTATCAAGAATCCTAATACGGATAGATGAAATCCAGCGTTCTGATTGGTTGAGAGTGAGTCACAGGGTGTACTTTATCGAGCCATAATGTACTGTACATGTTTACATTGACCTCAGCGTTCCGTATCACTGCACACTGAAAATAGCAGTTAGATTTTGTGCGACCGATAGTTGTCATTTCAGTTCTTAGCTCGGTGGCGATCGCCAAATTAAGACTGGAAACTCCGCTACGCGTCTGGCACAACAACAACAACAACAACAACAACCGTGAACTGTAAAATTATGGACGATAAATGTTATGTAGCAGACTCTGCTAATAAAACTAAAGTAAAGATTGGACATGAGACCGTGTGGGAAAATAACGTATATATTTTAATAGACGTTGAATCAGACAAAGAATACTAATATGATTCTGGACGAAGAGGACTTTTACCTATTAATGTAGTTTATGAACCTTTATTTGAGTAAAGATATGAGTACATCGTCCACCACTTACCACACCTGCTCCTTTTTCATCATGCTACACTATATTGTTTTATTGTTGATATTCTTTTATTCTGTGATATATTTTATATTTAATTTCATTGGTATTCATGCCCTTATGCTATATTCTGTATATTTGTCAATACAGATGTAGACAAAAAATTGAGATATATTGTTTTCTCTTCATCAGATAGAATGACATTAAAATAGCATTGAATATGGTTGAGCTATTGTTATAGTTGAATTATTATCAGATTCTTAAGATAAATCCCTGTAAACTCCCCTAAACCTCCCCTAACCCTGTTTAAAAATAAAACATATAATACTTACAGAATTTCTTTAATCTTGAACAGAAATTCCTCTCAAGCGTCAACACACGTCATAGTTGGATTGGTTTGAGTGACAGAGACATCGAGGGCACCTGGAAATGGATTGATGGAACTGCTGACGTGAAGAAAGTGTTGGTGTGGCGGGAGGTCTTAGTCCTGATGGACCTCAGCCTCCTGCCAGATGGAAGGGGCACAAACAGGTTTTGTCCGGGGTGAGAGGGGTCAGCTACGATCTTTTTAGCTCGGTTCAGAGACCTGGAAGCGAACAAGTCCTGCAGGGACGGCAGATTGCAGCCGATCAGCCTCTCTGCAGAGCGGATGACACGCTGCAGCCTGCCCTTGTCCTTGGCTGTGGCTGCAGCGTATCAGACGGTGATGGAGGAGCAGAGGATGGACTCCATGATGGCCGTGTAAAAGTGCACCATCATCGTTGAATTTCTTCAACCTGCCATAGGTTTATTTATTTATTTATCATATACTTTATTGCCCCGTGCATCGCCACTGCTGCTTTTCATCACGGACACATTTGTCCGGTATTTTCCTCCACAACTTTGTTCCCTTTGCTCCCTACGTGAATCCAACCCGCTTCTACAACCCGCCAATGACGGCTTGTAGAAGCGCTCATATTTACGCATTTCCTCCGACAAAAGTTCTTCAATCTGATCCGTTCTCTTGTAAACATTCTTTGTTTTAATAATGGAGGTATCGGGCTATGAAAGCGGAAATGAGAGACTCCGTAAAGGACGTAGTTAGCGGACCAAACGGACAGGATTGCTACTTTAGAGAACAGCAATGCCACAATTCCTAGAAAACAGGCCACATTGCTCATTTATGTAAAAGTAGTGATCAGAAATACACAAAGCAAAGATTTGAGGCAAAAATGAAACCAAAGCAGGGAACTGCTAGAACAGGAAAAATGAATAAGGATGAGACCAACTCATAGATAGTGATGGGGATTCTGCTTCAGATTCAGACTCTGAATTAAGATGCATATGGTTTCAGCAGCAGGCGACGCTGAGGCGGTGATGGCAGTAAGAAAAGGCAATGCAGCATCTTCTACATTGATTATAAGGCCAAAGATTGAAGGCCATGTCATTGATATGGAGCTTGACACGGGAGCAGCTGTGTCTTTGATTTCAATGGAGCTGTACAAAGCCAAATTTGCCCTGATACGTTTACGCCAGACGCATGTGGTGTTGAAAACACACACAGGAGAGTTGCTGCTTCCCGAGGGAATGTTGAAAGTATCGGTGAAATTGAATAAACAGAAAGTTTGATTGCCCTTATATGTGTGAAAGGGAAAGCACCACCTCTGTCTGGTCGTGAATGGCTACGGAACATATGTTGTGTTCTTTTTGAACAACTTTGGCCCGATATAAAACACTCAAACTAGAGTAGAATTATGAAGAATTATGAAGAATGTTAATAAAATCAAAATGTGGTTGAATGTGTAGTTAAGTTCTTCAGTAAATGAACACAATGATCACTGTTTTATTTTATTGTTTCATATTTCTGTTTGAGTTCATTCTGTAAATGTCTGCACTCACTTCAGCAACAGGAAAGAAGAATCAGATGAAGAGAAGAGTCGGTTCTCACATCTGGAAACATCGCTGGGATGAGATGGAAATGCAGATTCATCACTTCCTCTAAAGAGAGGAAGTGATGAATCTGCATTTCTATGGAGAAACTGGAACTGGAGATACAGTTCTTCTGAATATAGTGACACACACGTGTCTGTTTGTATGCTCATCTTGCAAGTACTGCTGTCTGAGTCATGCCTATGACCTCACACGTGATTGGACGAAGAGTCTAAGGGTCCTCCAATCACATACGAGGTTATTGTTATACGGAAGGACCAGTATTTTAGGAAGACAAATGGTTGGGACTTTGAAACAGCTGATATGCTTTATGTAAAGCAGTGTTTTGGTGTCAGCAGAACGACTTTCCCTAGAAATCTGTACAGTGGTGCCTCTTTCTCCATTCCACCAGACACTCTGGAGTCTGACAGACATGCAATGTTGACAATGTATCATCACATGTACCCTTGTGTCACTGAGGTTGAATGTTTTGCCATGACATGTAAACGGGTAACATATATGAATGTAACTTACTCAATCGATAGATGCAGAGCAGAAAGGTCAGCATGTGTTCATGCTAAGTGGTGTGGAAACACTAACAGTTTTCAGGAACCCGTCCTTGACCCTCTAGCAGAACTACGACCAGCCATTATAAAGCAGTTTATAGTTGTTAATATTGTGTCAAAGGGTACGGCATTTAAACATGTTCTTGCACAAGTTTCCTGGCTTCATCTCCACCCGGACAGACATTTTTATGGAAAGCCAATAGAAGTTTGGGGCTTGCAGGGAACAGGCACGTCGTACCCAGCATCATTTCTGCCAGTTGAGCGCATTGCTAGAAGATGTGTGGTTAATACATCCTCTGTGCATTTAAGTAAGACCAAAGAAAAGGTCACTGTAGTCCTGCCACTATGCACTGTAGTTGAGCTCTAGGAGACTGTGATCTCTGCAGACCCCTCATGCTGATTCAAATGTTGTTTGCATGGAATGCTCATTTTACCTTGATTAAAACTCATTTTTTAAAGAAGTAATTTTGTGTATCTTTTTTACATAAAATTTGCCTTTGCTAATGGCGTACACAGTAATCTAGCATATTTGAATTAAATTAATTAATTAAAGCTAAAATGTAAGAGTCCATAATTAGGCTACTGAGCCTGATCTATTTGCACCAGAGATTTTCTTACCTTTTAAAAAAATGTCATCTGGGCTAAAACTCCCTCTGCGACCCTGATTTGCATTTTTTTACCTCACAGCATTTTCATTTACATGTCAAAGCCTCCCCTAGAATTAGGAGGAGGGGGGTCATAGGGGGACAACTGCCAAGGGAGGCCCACATCAATTTCTGACCATTTACGTCAGTTTTCGGCGTTGCCCGCAAATTTCCGCAAACCTGAAATTTCACGACAATTTACAGTGCCGCATACTGACGAAAATCCCACTTTTCATGCCGTGTTATCTTCACTACTTCTCTGTCTGTTCTTAGAAGCTGCTGAAGTTCTTCCTCTAAAACACAATGAGAAGAACATCTTCCTGAGAAGGATCCTGAACGAGCATCAAGTTTTTCGTGTGCCGATGTGAAGGTTGTCTTCTGGTTCCAACAGGACTTCACTTCACTGTCATCCTATTAGAACACACACACACACACACACACACACAGATTAAAGGGTCTGAAAACCCAGTAAATGAATATCTTAGATATGAAACGCTGCTCACATCAGAGCCTCCAGGGAGGCTCTGCCTGACTGGGCTGGAGGGTCCTGAACGCCCCCTGACCGTCTTCAACCCTCCAGTGACACAGTCCTCCAGACCCCCCCCCCCCACAACTTTTACATTTCCACAAAGAAAAGGACAGATTTAACTATTGTTATAAATAATATATCACATTAATATTACTGTCATCATAAACCAACGTTACCGTCTCACTGCTCTCAATATTTGAATCATTTGTTGCAGGACTTTAATGTGTTGTACATCTTTGACGTTGATCATTGTGTACACATGACCTCACTGCAGTCTGTCCGTCCTGAGAGGGATCCTCCTCTGAGCTTCTCCCCTTCTTCCCCATGGAAGGGTTTTCTATTTTGGGGGAGTTTTTCGTGTGCCGATGTGAAGGTTGTCTTCTGGTTCCAACAGGACTTCACTTCACTGTCATCCTATTAGAACACACACACACACACACACACACACAGATTAAAGGGTCTGAAAACCCAGTAAATGAATATCTTAGATATGAAACGCTGCTCACAGTTGTGAATCGTTTCAAAGATGTCTGTTGAGTCGCTTTCTATCTTTCTATAAGAAGCCAGTTAGCTTTCCTCAGAATGCCTGTGGGGGGGACGTGGTTTGGCTCGGCTGCAGAGGGATTTAATGGACTTTTCCAGAGTTCCAGAGGTGTTTGGAAGCTTTGATTTGACTTGAATCAATTATTGAGGTCATTTAGAACAACAAACACTATTTTCTCTGACTTTGCTCGGTGTTCTTGAGTTACAGGTCCGTCGTATCCGGGGGGCATGAAGGTGAGCTCCTGATGAGGAGACTCCAGGGAGGCTCCAGTGACACAGTCTACCGACCTCCAGACCCCCCCCCCTCCCTGCTCCCCCATTCTATTACTATTACTAGACACTATTCCCAGAGATTCCTTCAGCCTGTTTTGTGTCTTTCCATCGTTTTTCTGGACAATAAATCTTATTTCCGCTGGATGCTGCTTTTCCTTTTCTGCAATAAACTCCAGTCTCTCTGTGTGATCTCTGCATTTGAGTCACCTGACAGTCCCTCACAGAGAGGGTCAGTCCAGGAGTGGGCTCATGTGAACACGTTACTCAAAATAAAATAAACGCTTTGTCAACGTGCACATCTGGGACAAAATACTTGAACCAAATTGTAAATGTTTGGAGTAGAAGTAGAAAGTTGCACAAAATGGGAATAATCTGCTTGGATTTGTAGTTAAGTACTTCAGTTAATGCATTCCCAGACCCAATACTATGTTTTATTTCATTATTTCATGAATTTGATTGAGCTCTTTCTGGAATTGGCTGCACTCGGAGAGGAAAACAGGTAAATAGGAAAGAAAGAAAGTCTCCTTTACTGATCCCGTTGGGGAAGTAAAATACTAAAAAGAGTTGTTTCTCTCCCCTGAAAATCACTGTGTCACAATTAATACCCTCCCCTATCGCTTCTTCTATTTCTCTTTACTGCTTCCCTTTTTGTATTTAAGACCCAGCTGGAGAGGTTCCTCATTTACATTCTCTCCTTGTGTGAGTTGATGCTACATATCTGACCCTGGAGGGCAAAGCGTGAATCCTCAGAGCGATGGATGACATATATGCCAACGTTGAATACGACAAGTCTCAGGTTTCCATAAGACCTTCAACACCTGCCCCAGGTAAGAATGATCAGTCTGTGCATCTTCTCCTGACCAGCGTGCTGACTGGTCTTCATGTTTCCAGGTCCCAGCAGCCCAAGGAGCAGACCTCATGTGGCTGCTGCTGTCTCTCTGGGGCTGCTCAGTGTCCTCCTGCTGGCTGGACTCGTCTGTCTCGGTGTCCACGGTGAGTCTGGTCTTCATCCAACCTGAGATTTGAGAGAGTTCAGGTTGCTGGTTGTCATGACAACATTTGCTCAGTATCTTTATTATTTCCTGTGAAAAGATGATGGGATGTTTCTGTAATATAGAACACAACAGTGATGTATTGTATCACATATTCATGTCTCCATGTCTTCATGACTCAGTGCATGTCAGTGGAGACAAGCTGTCCTCAGTGTCTGCAGAGAGAGACCAGCTGAAGGACAACTTCACTGCACAGAGTGAGTGCTGGTCTGTGTGTGTTCTGCTGAGTCGTGTAATATATATAGTACATATAATACATCTGCTCTGTAGTCTATATGTACAGTCTGTTGGCCCTGTCCAAACTTCATTTAAACACACCACACAACACGTTTATGTACATTTCACTCTTTCTTAGTGGCGGTTGCATCTATTTAGAGCCGAAAGTCAGAGTTTTGGTCCAAATGTTATGATTTAAATACGGCTTTTATCTCTTCAAACCACAGATAAGCAGTTGTGTGCGATCAAAATCTTAAATCTTAGTCTCCTTTGAACAAAGCTTATGACGCATTTACGCAAGTAAATGTGGGGATATGAGAGATAAAATAGTTCAGAACCGCCACGATATGGATAAAATATCACATAAAAATAAAATAATATATTTTGGTTAGATATTAATTGCAATATGTTATGTGTTTAGGTTTCATGTGAAGCACTAATTTGCCTTTTTGTTGAAATGTGTGAAATGCCGTTCTGCTGCGTGTGTGTTGCCACATATCAGCTTAAAACTTTTCCTCCGTGTGTGTCAGGGTCATACATGATATACATGAAGTAAAGTACTAACAAATACCACAACACTTGTGAAAATAGACAAGACATTTTTTTGTAATATAGACCACAATAGTGGAGAATTTAGAGTCCAGGTTGCTGGTTGTCATGACAACATTTGCTCAGTATCTTTATTATTTCCTGTGAAAAGATGATGGAATGTTTCTGTAATATAGAACACAACAGTGATGTATTGAATTGTGTCTCAATGTCTTCATGACTCAGTGCATGTCAGTGGAGACAAGCTGTCCTCAGTGTCTGCAGAGAGAGACCAGCTGAAGGACAAAGTCACTGCACTGACCCAAGAGAAGGACGGACTTCAGCTCTTGTTGAAGCAGAGTGAGTGCTGGTCTGTGTGTTTAAACTGTTTCCTAAAGAAATACTTCTGTAATTAATGAGTCAATTGATTGAATAAATAATTGTTGTGGTGGTCAAGTATAAATAGTCTCCACAGACTTTTAAATTAGGGAACCAAGGAACTTTATTGTCGTATTGTCGTATCGTATTGAGGAACAGTTATTTATTGTATTTAAAACGACTAGAGAAAAGCAGTTGTTCTTAGTCTTCCTTCAACAATGCTTATTCAATACGTTTGTATGTCAGTATGATATATAAAAGGAAATAATCTATCCGTGTTAGATGATAATAGTGTCTTCATACTGAATGTTTGTCGCTAAGATGCAGAACAGGACATTAAAATGAAGTGATGTGTGTCACAGTGACGCTGCACAGCTCAAAATAGAGTCAACAAAAACACACAACTTCCTCAGTTTAAAGACTCTTGTGTGAAGTTAAATGTTTCTTCTTTTACAGAGAAAACGTGTCCTGAGGGGTGGACGATGTTCAGATGCTCCTGTTATCTTCTCTCTACACGGGATGATTCCTGGGAAAATGGCAGAAAGGACTGTACAGACCAAAGAGCAGATCTGGTGATCATAGACTCACTTGAAGAACAGGTAGTGTGTTATAAGTTAGTTATAGTTATATTCAGTTTTCCCCGTGTGACAAACTTCTGTATTAACAATTAAAGCCAATTTGTCTTAAAGCTGCATTCTCTGTAGTGACCAGCAGGGGGCGACTCCTCTGCTCCCATAGACGTCTATGAGGAAATGACTCTACTTCTCTGTAGTGACCAGCAGGGGGCGACTCCTCTGCTCCCATAGACGTCTATGAGGAAATGACTCTACTTCTCTGTAGTGACCAGCAGGGGGCGACTCCTCTGCTCCCATAGACGTCTATGAGGAAATGACTCTACTTCTCTGTAGTGACCAGCAGGGGGCGACTCCTCTGCTCCCATAGACGTCTATGAGGAAATGACTCTACTTCTCTCTTGATTTATTCCCTCAGTAAACATTGTAAACATGAGTTTATGGTCTCAGTCTCTAGTTTCAAGTCTTCTTCAATCCAGCATGATGTTCATTTAGTAAATTATGGTCCGTTTAGAGTTAAATGAAGCTTTTTCTCAACTGGCCACTACAATATGAGTACATCTGAGTACTTAATTGTTTTTGATGTTCATATTATTTTCATTCTGTGATATATTTTATTTAATGTATTCATGCCCTCTGGCTTTATTCTGTATATTTGTCAATACTGATAGACCAAATATTCAGATAAGTCATTTTCTTTTCATCAGCTATAATACCTACATTAAAACAACATTGAGCTGGTAATATAATTAATTTTCACAATGTTTAAAATAAATCCTTAAACCTCCGTAATACATTTAAAATAATAATTACAGAATTCATATATTTTTATCTTCAACAGAAATTTCTCTCAAGCTTCACCAGCCGTCGTAGTTGGATTGGTTTGAGTGACAAAGACATCGAGGGCACCTGGAAATGGATTGATGGAACTCCACTGACTGCAGCGTAAGACACACAACAATATTTAAAGATCGACACATATTCAACTATTGCTGCATCTATTGTTATTATTATTATTATCATAATCTTTAGTCTAATTCTTCCAATATTTGTTGTGCACTACACACATAAATAAACTCACTTCGACAATATTATTCTTTATTTTTATTTTACTGGAAAGACTTTAAGCTTCATTGAATGTTATTTTGGCCGCTTTACTGAAGAGAACACTCCTGTGAAATGTCTTATCCTCCTCTTAGGTACTGGTACCGTGACGCCAAAGTAGTTGAGCCTAATAACGGGGGAGGAAATCCCCAGTGGGGGGAGGAGGACTGCGCTGACATACAACCTGACCAGAACCCACAAAACAGCTGGAATGATCTGCGTTGTGACGCTGTTTTGCGATGGATCTGTGAGAAAATGGCTTGATAATTGAAACATATCATCTGTAAAGTGTGATTGTGTTTTGGCAAAAGGGCTTTAATGGTGTTGATGTAAGTTGCATTTAGAGACAGAAGGAGACCATGTAAGTCAGGTATCAAGTTCTTAGAATGAATTTATTTCTATAGTTTGACTTTGAAGTTGTTTTATTGGGAAATGAACATCTTTACTGTGTGTGTGTGTGTGTGTGTGTGTGTGTGTGTGTGTGTGTGTGTGTGCTGGTTACAAGAAACAAAGCTGCATATTGTACTAAATAGATATTTGAATAAAAAGCTTCATCCTGAAATACATTTCTTAGAGCAACAAAGGCGACTTGAGCTGTTTTCATTAAATATGTCACATTCACCAACGCAGCCAGCTAGTATGAACATCTGCTCATGTCCCTCAATAACTACTATGATACAGTCCACTTCACACATAGCATGAGACAGCAGGTGCACTTCTTGTCATGTAAATGTCTTCAGGACTTGTCCTTTCTAGGGACGCTCTCAGTCCGTTCCTGTTGGGTGTGAGAGAAGGTCGCCATCAAGTGTTGGATTTGAACACTTGCATGCAGGTGTCTTTTTACACTCAGCAGTGCGCTCTGAACCAAGTGTTGATTGTGGGTCACCAACAGACTCACAACCTGTGGCTGTGTCTCCTTTGGTGGGCTGCGTCCTCATGAGGACTCAGCCTTTGCAGTCGACCTGCGCCGTGTCCTCCAACGACCGCATAGGCTGAACCGAGCGTCTCTGAAAGGAGACGTCTGGTCCACGGGGAGACTTCCTGTGTACGTCCTCAGCTTATAAAATGCTGATAGAGAAGCTAAACTTCTTATTCCATCTAAATAGGAAGATATGCTTCACCTCTGGAGCATGAAATATTATTTCAGGATGAGACGTGTGGAGTTCTGAACCTCTGATCAAGGATCACTTCTGTTACCCTCGAACCTTCTGAGACGACAAGTTATAAAGAGTCAGCAGTTTAAAAATTATAAAGAATTTAACAACTAATAGAAGTAATAAGAAATAAAGTTACAAAGTGAAATAAAGTATGAATAGTGTAAAAAAATGTTGTGACCATCAATATTGGTTCACAGGAGGCTTCTGTCTCCTCCTCCTCCAGCTCAGCTCCTCCAATCTCCAGGGGGGGGGGGCGTGTCCCTTGTGGTCTTGTCGTATGTGATTGGCTGCACATTCAATTTTTCACGTGACCTGCATAGGCTCAGCACTGATCCACGCTAGCATCAGGCTAACGTCCCCATCCATCCACGCTAGCATCAGGCTAATGATCCCATCCATCCACGCTAGCATCAGGCTAATGATCCCATCCATCCACGCTAGCATCAGGCTAATGATCCCATCCATCCACGCTAGCATCAGGCGAACCCTTACATACAACACATAATAACAACCTCGCTACCAGACTGTGGACTTCAACGCTTTATAACAAAGCTTTTTTGCAACATAAATGGATCAGTACCGCCGATGCCCATTTTCAACACAGGGGGCCGGCTATGCCCCGGAGAGCTCAGTGTTGTGTGGACGGGACGGGGCTATATCCTGGCCATCACACTACTTAATGGGCGTTTCGTGTTGACAACGACCCAACCCGGAAAGTCCACTGAGTGCACGAACCCAAAGGTTCCGACTTTGATCCATTTCTGTTCTTAAATCCTTAAATAACATTGAATACACGATACTAAAACAGCAGTTGGTGCGAGCATGTGGCTGTTCTGAAAAAGCTCTCAGAACATTGTGATGTTGGCGCTCATTTGAGGGACAGACTTGTGTGTGAACTAATCAATGTAAATATTCAAAGGAAACTGTTGACGGAGGAAGTGCTCACATTCCCGCGTGTTGTAGACACCACAATGTCGGTGGAAGCTGTAGCAAGAGAATCTCAGCGTTTGAAAAGTTCGCTGAAAGTTCACGCTGTGTCGTTCTCATCGCCACAAGGGGGCGACAAATGCTTTTAAATCACAGCGGACAGGATTGCTACTTTAGAGAACAGCAATGCCACAATTCCTAGAAAACAGGCCACATTGCTCATTTATGTAAAAGTAGTGATCACAAATACACGAAGCAAAGATTTGAGGCAAAAATGAAACAACAGCAGGGAACTGCTAGAACAGGAAAAATGAATAATGATGAGACCAACTCATAGATAGTGATGGGGATTCTGCTTCAGATTCAGACTCTGAATTAAGATGCATATGGTTTCAGCAGCAGGCGACGCTGAGGCGGTGATGGCAGTAAGAAAAGGCAATGCAGCATCTTCTTCATTGATTATAAGGCCAAAGATTGAAGGCCATGTCATTGATATGGAGCTTGACACGGGAGCAGCTGTGTCTTTGATTTCAATGGAGCTGTACAAAGCCAAATTTGCCCGGATACGTTTACGCCAGACGCATGTAGTGTTGAAAACACACACAGGAGAGTTGCTGCTTCCCGAGGGAATGTTGAAAGTATCGGTGAAATTGAATAAACAGAAAGTTCGATTGCCCTTATATGTGGTGAAAGGGAAAGCACCACCTCTGTCTGGTCGTGAATGGCTACGGAACATATGTTGTGTTCTTTTTGAACAACTTTGGCCCGATATAAAACACTCAAACTAGAGTAGAATTATGACGAATTATGAAGAATGTTAATAGAATCAAAATGTGGTTGAATGTGTAGTTAAGTTCTTCAGTAAATGAACACAATGATCACTGTTTTATTTCATTGTTTCATATTTCTGTTTGAGTTCATTCTGTAAATGTCTGCACTCACTTCAGCAACAGCAACTCTAAAGAGAGGAAGTGATGAATCTGCATTTCTATGGAGAAACTGGAACTGGAGATACAGTTCTTCTGAATATAGTGACACACACGTGTCTGTTTGTATGCTCGTCTTGCAAGTACTGCTGTCTGAGTCATGCCTATGACCTCACACGTGATTGGACGAGGAGTCTAAGGGTCCTCCAATCACATACGAGGTTATTGTTATACGGAAGGACCAGTATTTTAGGAAGACAAATGGTTGGGACTTTGAAACAGCTGATATGCTTCATGTAAAGCAGTGTTTTGGTGTCAGCAGAACGACTTTCCCTAGAAATCTGTACAGTGGTGCCTCTTTCTCCATTCCACCAGACACTCTGGAGTCTGACAGACATGCAATGTTGACAATGTGTCATCACATGTACCCTTGTGTCAATGAGGTTGAATGTTTTGCCGTGACATGTAAACGGGTAACATATATGAATGTAACTTACTCAATCGATAGATGCAGAGCAGAAAGGTCAGCATGTGTTCATGCTAAGTGGTGTGGAAACACAACCGTTTTGAGGAACCGTCCTTGAACATCTAGCAGAACTACGACCAGCCATTATAAAGCAGTTTATAGTTGTTAATGTTGTGTCAAAGGGTACGGCATTTAAACATGTTCTTGCACACGTTTCCTGGCTTCATCTCCACCCGGACAGACTTTTTTATGGAAAGCCAATAGAAGTTTGGGGCTTGCAGGGAACAGACACGTCATACCCAGCATTATTTCTGCCAGTTGAGCGCATTGCTAGAAGATGTGTGGGTAATACATCCTCTGCGCAGCTAAGTAAGACCAAAGAAAAGGTCACTGTAGTCCTGCCACTGTGCGCTGTAGTTGAGCTCTAGGAGACTGTGATCTCTGCAGACCTTAAAGAAGTTATTTTGTGTTTTGTGTGACAATAAATCTTATTTCCGCTGGATGCTGCTTTTCCTTTTCTGCAATAAACTCCAGTCTCTCTGTGTGATCTCTGCACTTGAGTCACCTGACAGTCCCTCACAGAGAGGGTCAGTCCAGGAGTGGGCTCATGTGAACACGTTACTCCAAATAAAATAAACGCTTTGTCAACGTGCACATCTGTAGAAAGTTGCACAAAATGGGAATAATCTGCTTGGATTTGTAGTTAAGTACTTCAGTTAATGCATTCCCAGACATAATACTATGTTTTATTTTATTATTTCGTGTATTTGATTGAGCTCTTTCTGGAATCGGCTGCACTCAACTCAGTTCAGCCATCGAAAAGAGAAAAAAAAAAGATGAATAAAGTCTCCTTTACTGATCCCGTTGGGGAAGTAAAATACTAAAAAGAGTTGTTTCTCACCCCTGAAAACATCGCTGTGTCACAATTAAAACCCTCCCCTATCGCTTCTTTTATTTCTCTTTACTGCTTCCCTTTTTGTCTTTAAGACACAGGTGGAGAGGTTCCTCATTTACATTCTCTCCTTGTGTGAGTTGATGCTACATATCGGACCCTGGAGGGCAAAGCGTGAATCCTCAGAGCGATGGATGATATATATGCCAACGTTGAATACGACAAACCTGTGGACTCCACACCGAGGACCAATCAGACAGGTGAGAGTGTGAACAGGTGCATCATTATTGTTTAGATGTGTGTTGTTACACTGACCAGTGTGCTGACTGGTCTTCATGTGTCCAGGTCCCAGCAGCCCAAGGAGCAGACCTCATGTGGCTGTTGCTGTCTCTCTGGGGCTGCTCAGTGTCCTCCTGCTGGCTGGACTCGTCTGTCTCGGTGTCCACGGTGAGTCTGGTCTTCATCCAACCTGAGATTTGAGAGAGTCCAGGTTGCTGGTTGTCATGACAACATTTGCTCAGTATCTTTATTATTTCCTGTGAAAAGATGATGGGATGTTTCTGTAATATAGAACACAACAGTGATGTATTGTATCACGTCTTTATGTCTTCATGTCTTCATGACTCAGTGCATGTCAGTGGAGACAAGCTGTCCTCAGTGTCTGCAGAGAGAGACCAGCTGAAGGACAACTTCACTGCACTGACCCAAGAGAAGGACGGACTTCAGCTCTTGTTGAAGCATAGTGAGTGCTGGTCTGTGTGTTTAAACTGTTTCCTAAAGAAAAACTTCTGTAATTAATGAGTCAATTGATTGAATAAATAATTGTTCTGGTGGTCAAGTATAAATAGTCTCCACAGACTTTTAAATTAGGGAACCAAGGAACTTTATTCAGTTATTTATTGTATTTAAAACGACTAGAGAAAAGACGTTGTTCTTAGTCTCCCTTCAACAATGCTTATTCAATACGTTTGTTTTAAAATGATGGAAGTAAAGATGATGATTGGAGATGAAACATAAGTTCAAATAGTGAGTGTACAACTACAGTATGATATATAAAAGGAAATAATCTATCCGTGTTAGATGATAATAGTGTCTTCATACTGAATGTTTGTCTCTAAGATGCAGAACAGGACATTAAAATGAAGTGATGTGTGTCACAGTGACGCTGCACAGCTCAAAATAGAGTCAACAAAAACACACAACTTCGTCAGTTTAAAGACTCGTGTGTGAAGTTAAATGTTTCTTCTTTTACAGAGAAAACGTGTCCTGAGGGGTGGACGATGTTCAGATGCTCCTGTTATCTTCTCTCTACACGGGATGATTCCTGGGAAAATGGCAGAAAGGACTGTGGAGACCAAGGAGCAGATCTGGTGATCATAGACTCACTTGAAGAACAGGTAGTGTTATTATTAATATTATTATAAGTTATTTTTAGTTTCATTTTGTTTTCCTCAGGGCCCCGTTCCTCGTACGTGGTTAACTGAGTAAGCCGGATCATTTTCAGGATAAGATGATGTAGATCAGGGTTTTCGGTTCCCCGAAGCAGGTTTAACCAAATCACCATAGCAACACATTGAAAAGCTCTCCTCCTCATTGATGGAGGAGCCACATGAGTCAGATTAACGTTTTATAAGGAGAGAGTTCAGAGATCATGAAGACCCGTCATCACGTCACCATGACGTCCTGTACGAGCGCCATCGATCGTTTATAGAGTTTCTCACACACTGTCCCTCACACTGTCTCACACACTGTCCCTCACACTGTCTCACACACTGTCCCTCACACTTTCTCACACACTGTCCCTCACACTGTCTCTCACACACTGTCTCCTCACACTGTCTCACACACTGTCCCTCACACTGTCTCACACACTGTCCCTCACACTTTCTCTCACACTGTCTCACACACTGTCCCTCACACTGTCTCCCACACTGTCTCACA